AGAGAGAGAGAGAGAGAGAGAGAGAGAGAGAGAGAGAGAGAGAGAGAGAGACAGCTTGCTTACAGTCAGGGTATTAATGGGGCGGGAGGGGGAGGCGGCGAGGGGAGGGCGCAGACAAACGCGCTGCACGCTTATTTACCTGCAAGTCCTCCGCTCCGGCGGTGGCCAGCCCCAGGCTGGGCCCTGGCAGGAGTCTTTGATCTGGGTGCATTCCATACTGAGAGCCGTGGCTCATGAGGGACAGGTCGTGGCGACGGTAGGCATCGAGGCAGCCCAGCTCCCGCCTCTGCTCGTCCAGGCAGGAGGACTTGAGTGCCCGCGCATTGTGCAGGTTAATAAAGTCGGCGGGCTCCCCGTGGTGGATCTGCTGGTAGTACTGCTGCGAGTGGTGGAGAGAGTTCAGAGAGTAGGCGTCGGGGGTGACTGCCGGGTGGCTATGCTGAAACTCGTAATGGAAGGACTGGTGGTGGAGCGGGGTGTACTGGTGATTAGTGGAGAAGTAGGGGGACGCAAACTCGGTGCCGGTGGTGGAGTAAGTTAAAGGAGAGGAGGAGGAATAGGCGACAGTGGAATTGGCTACGGACTCCAGACAGCCAAGCTGCATCAAACGGTAGCTGTTTGATCCGTCGTGACGTATCTGGAAGGAAGAGGGGGAAAAGGGAGAGCAGAAAAACTTGAGGTTTGTCATTTTGCAACCAAAGCGCCACTCTCCCAGAGCCCAGAGCCTACTCCAGCTTTCCAAGGAGAGCAGCGCACAGGGCTGGGGTGGCACCGCAGCCGGGCGCGTCGCCTTTCCAGAAAGCCTCTGCCAGCAGGCAGCTGGGGATGGGCGGCCCGGTCCTCACAGTCGAGACGGCGGGAAAAAGTCCCCCACCCTATATAGGTGCGGGCGACATCACACACGCGCACACGCAGACACACAGACACACCCAGTCCCTGCCCAACTTGTGCAGGGAACTGGGCGAGAGTAGCCAGGTTTGCAGCCGACTCCGGGCCGCGGGGAGTAGGACGGTCCCCGGCAGAGAGCGCCGGCCCCTCCTCGCCGCTCCACCCGGACCGAACGCCCAAAGCCGCGCCCGTTCAGGCCGAGGTGTTCGGCCAGGACTGCTCAAAATCACGGTCCGTACATTAAAACAAAAATCCAGTCTGCAAACTGTTCAACTTGCTCACTTCCTCAGCTATCTGGGAGAGGGAATCCGACCCCTCCTTAACTGCTTCCCTTCCCCTGAAGAAGCTCATTGCAAAAGAGGTGCGCTTTACCCACCCCCCTTTGTCCACCTACCGCCCCCCATCAGTCCTCTTCTTTGCCTTTCTGAAAATCCTTTTCTATCTCTTTCTCCTCACCCCCCTCCTTATTATTAGGATTGTGTTTTCTACCTCATTATGGCAAATGTTTCTTAACGTGGCAGAGAGTTGCCCTTTCTGGCGACAGATGTCATAACGAACTCTTCTCCCTTCCCTTCCTTAACTTCCCCGGAAAGCCAGATTATAATTAAACGTAACGGTCCCACATAGATTAGAGACAGGGGAAGCTGCCACCGCCGCCGCCGCCACCACCACCGCCGCCACACACACGCGCGCTCAAAAAAAAAAAAAAGTAATAATACCTCGGCATCGTGGACTAGTCCCGGAAAGGTAGTTGACATGTTGGGTTTCTCCAAAAGCTTACGATGCAATTTTCCCCTCCAAAAAAAGAATCTGGAAAAAAAAAATCCAAACTTCTTGTATTTTCCAATTTTTTTTTTAAGGAAAAAGAAATGTTCTATAGACAGAGATCTAAATTGTAATGGTTTTGCCCGGATCAGATAGCTCCTCGCCTTGTACCCACTTAAAAACCTGTAGGAACAAAATTTTCCCTCTGCACAAAAGCAGCTCCCTGGAACAGATTTTGTACTTGCTGAGTATTTCTTTGGCTGATGTCGTAGGTCCCTTGGTAATATAGAAGTTTTGAAAATTAAGCATCAGCACTGAGAACTGGGAGGACAATAGGCAGAAGAGATTTATCCCAGGAGACAAGGAATAAATATTGTATCTTCACCTAATAAGGAACTGGAGGTTCTTTCAACATTTTTATCCATTTTTTCCAACCTTTATCATGCTTTTCTATACCGGCTGAGGTGGGGACTTATCTCTTCGGAGAGCATTTGCACACATTTTATTGTGAAGACAGAGATCTAGCCCCAATATGTGTATATTAGAGATGGAAATATATATTAATTAAAGCTTCCTTTACCATGGGCAAGTGTTCATTCCTATTGGTTCCAATCCCTGGATGCTGAAAGCTGCTTTTTCCAACAAGCATCCGTATCAATTTAGCCTAGATTGGGGTGCCTGCCTTTGCCCAAATGGAAACAATACTGCTTCTTCCATATTTACATCGAATTTGGGTCCTTTCTCTCTTTTGAAAGGCAACACTAGGTGGTGGCTTACACTTTTCAGAAGCTTTTAAAATAAATAACTGTGATGGACAGTCCCAAGTTTCAATCATAAAGTGGTGTAACTGGCAATAAATTTACGAAAAATGCAAACGAATAAAGATGTGTGACAAGATTCCACATTTAGGTAAATGTTGTCTTTCATTTTCCAACCTAACCATTTTTCCTCCTCTTTTGTGTTTTCCTTCTGTAAATAGTGCTGGATAGAAGTGTGTGTTGGAGGTTAGACCATTTAACACTGGAACCAGGTATTTGAACACTATTTCTCCAAAATAACCTTTAAAAGCTTTAGGGTTGTATTTTACAGAGAGGGCAGGAGGGAGGCAGTGCGTGCACCTATCTCCCTTTCTTTAGTGGATCTCTGACTTTCAAACAGTTTTTGAGGTTTACTTCCTTTAAAATGTAGCTTCCCCCATCAAGTTGTCTGGTGCCTGAAGGGGGTAGTAGTGGGTTCAAGCTGGGAAGACTGAGACTTCTCGAGGTCCAGCCTCCAACCCTGTGTATCTCATAAGGACTGGCTGGCCCCACAGACTCATCTCGGAGATAGAGGGGGTAATTCAGTCTTAATTGCTGTTTCATGGTTACCTTTTAAGTGTTTAAGCTGAGAAGGTGTCTTAATAATAAGCCGCAGGCAAACAGACACGTGGCTTTTTTTAAGGTCGGGGGTTTGGGAGGGTTTATTGGGATCTCCTCATTCAGGCTAACTGGGCCTATCACTCAGCACTCTTTGGTTTATACAAATGGACAAAGGCACATGACAAGAATTGAAATGCATTGTCTGAAATGGAGATCAGAGACGCTCCAGCCCTGTACAGGGGTCAGCAGCCACCTCATGTCAAGGTGCACCAGCTCCTCAACTTCCAATTCTTAAAATTCTATATTTTGGTCTAATGAAGTCAGGAGACTGAGAAATCAATGAAGATGAAAAAATGTCCAATCACTCTTTAAGTGGGAGGGGTAAGATGAGAGCTGGTTGGCCCTGAGGGCTGAACCCCAAAGTGCTTGTCTAGTAATCTTTGTTTGCTAGTTGCCAGGTAGGCCTTCATAGCTAACCCATAGAGGACATAAACTATCTAATTAACCTTGGGAGTTGGGAATATATATTACCCAGAAATCCCACTGAGAAAATTTAACTCTGCCCCCAAAAGAATATGTAGAGCCCACACATTATGTTGTGAATGGCCAGATTTACTTTTCTTGGTGGATAATATTGGCTTCCCAGGTAGCCAAAGCTCAAATAGAAAAGGATGGTACCTTCTCTAACAACCAGCAACCACCTTCCCCAGCACCCTACTGTAATATACCTTCATTGAAGGCGAAAGGACCTTCTCCTCCTAGCTTAAGTCTGAACAACAGACACAAAATCCTCTTGCCTGGGAACAACCAGGAGGCTCAGGACCAGAAGGCTGCCTGCTTCCTTTGCTGTCCCAGCAGATGATCCAGGAGGTGACCTACACAAAACCCTGCACTCAGAAGAGGTAGCCTTCTGATACTCTCAGTAATGAGCTCTGGCCTGAGCCGAGTACATCCTATGGAATGACATATGGGAAAGGTCATTAGGTGTTTCATTTATTATGATGCTTGAGTACCCTTAGACTTAAAGAAAACTAAAGATCACAAAGAATGAAAAAAATCCTTTATTTGTATTTGAGACCTGCAGGAAAGATAAAGTGCACCCCTTTTAGTTTTGGACCCTGTCTCCTTTGCAAAGTGCTCTTCCTCCCTCCACACTGACTCCCCACACCACATGCTGGACCCCAGGGAGACTTCACTTGCCCAACTGCTCCCTCCTACCTCATCTCAACTTAAAAAAAAAAAAAAAAAAAAGCTGTTCTCCCTGAAAGAAAAGTTGGGGAAATCATCTGTGCCATATGTACACACTGGTCAGCATTCCCTTCCATCTGCTCTGGGGTTGCGCAGTGCACCCCTTTTGTAAAGAAATTCATTGAGGCAGGTGTATGTTGTGTTTGGTGCCTTGTGTGTGTGTGAGATGTGCATGCATCAGATTTGTTTCTGTCAGACAGTTCCCCCCTTTCCCCCCTCCCATCCAATTAATAGTCTTGAGCAATTAATAAGTGCCATCTTGCTTGACTCAAAGACTCGGCTTTTCAGCAAATCTAATTCCTTTCTGTTTTGTCCCTTTCCTGGAGAGTGATTGGCCACATGTTCTCCAGCGGGTGGCATAATTGAATTAACTGGCCACAGAGTATTGGAGAGACAATGATGGTCACCTGGGCCTCCTTCAGTGGGAAACTGGTGGCATGCATTCTGGCTTCAGCAGAAGGGTAGGCCAGTGCCTGCCCATTCAAATAGCCCACAGAAAAAAGAAGTTGGAGACAGTCTCCCTTTGCACCTGGTGTGCTTTTTCTCCCTCTAGTTCCATGCTCTACACTCTAGGAGGGATCATCCTGTCACAGTTACTTTAGGAATCTGCTAAGAAATCTTTATACATATCATTAATGTCTTGGTTAAGATCCAGAGCTGGAAGAGGGTTTTTGGAAGTTGTAGGTCCCTTTCCTGAGTTTATAGGTTGGTGGTATGCTAGTCATTGGTTTTGGTTCAACCTAGAAAAATCCTTGTTGAAAGGAATATCCACTTCCTGTTTGAGGTGAGTTAAATATTACCAGCCATCATGCATCATGTGTTTATCCCTAGCTTTAATAAACATGTATTTCTTTGGGGTTATTTTTCTCTTCTTTTTTTTTTTCTTTCTTTCTTTCTTCCTTTCTTTTGATTCTTGGAGTTTCCTCCATTCCTGCAAGTTGATTATATTTGTTTTCTTGTTCTCTAAATAGATTTACATCACAAAATTGCCCATATAATACTAACTGAAATGATTGCAATTATTTGTGCATTTTCTACCAGGAATATTTCACTAAGTATATTTACACACAGGAATCAACCAAAGTATCTTCCTTCTTCCTTCTTTCCCATCCTTCCTTTGTCCTGTCCTTTCTTCTCCTTCCATCTCTCCTTTTCTCATTTCCTTTCTTCTGTTTTTTTTTTCATTTTTAGTTGAAGATAGAGATGAGATTGCATCCATTAAACTTATGCCTTTATCATACATTGTGTAACAATGACATTCAGTATGTTCTGCTCCAGAGTGGTGTGGAGCTCCATAACCCAGATGCAACAGGAGACAATTTCCATAGTCACAAAGACCCTGGCCTCAAGAGTACAGGGTCAGCAGGGTGGTGAAGCACTGAGGACACAATGTAGTACAAAGTAGTCCCATAGGTTAATGTTCAGCACTCGAAATCAGAATAAGAGGTGTAGGTCTGAATAGATGTACCAGTCCTTACTGCTCTCAGGCTCTTTCTTTTCACTCCTTATGTTGTCTTCAGAGAAGGTGGAGCAGGCAAGGATATCTGTACGTTATATAGGGCTGCTCTTGCTCTGCCCACCCTCTGGAACCCTTCCATTTCTCTGAGAATCTTCAGCTCTGAGTGTCTCCACCTGGATAGTCTCTCAAGATGGTGTATGATTTGGTCTCCAAGAGCCAATCACAGAGGGACCTCTCAGGGCTCTTTCCCAGGAGGCCTTAGTTTCAGACACTCAGGATTTTAATGGCCTGGAACTTCTTGTGGTCTGTGGTTTCTCAGAGATGTAATTCATCTAACCTTTTAAACTTTCCCAGTCATAGCTGAAGTAGATGGGTGAGTGGGGGGTTCCTTCAGGTGGTGGAAAGACACAGGTGTTGGGACACCATGTGGCATTCCAGCCCCTGGTCCATTCATTTTTCCGTACCAGACAAGGAGGAGATAGAAGGGTGCTCCACATAACCTGGGCAGGAGCAAGTGTTCTAAAACGACCCAGTTACGTGGACTCTGGTACTTGCAGAGAAAGGCCATGACAGTGTGTGTACTCTTATGTGCCAACCAGCTAGGTCAGGCCCCCTTGCCTGACTCTGGCCTCTCCCAAGGAATCACTTGCTTTTCTTTCTGCCTGTGTTGTTGCTGACTCTGGGTCTCTTTCCACAATCCCTCCCCTGGCTTGCCTTGCTGTCCACCACTTTTGTCCACCTCCACCCCACCTTCAACAACAGAAGGGGCACTGTGCCTAACAAGTTCCATAATTGCAAAAGAAAAGTC